CTGGGAGTCGACGTCCGCACTTCTTAAAGTTGCCAGCTTTGAAAAACACTGATCTAAATATTATCATTAAATATAGATTGCAGTCTAATTTGGGTCCATTGGGGGGCAAGAAACACGTAAGGGTTCTAGGGTAAACTCCAACATAGCCTTAAAAGTGCTTTTCAAAGATGCAGATGCCCCCAAGACGATCTTCAAAATCCAGAGGCAGCAAAAGCTGTGCTCCTAGCCCATTGGCATCCTCGTTCTGCCTGTTGTGGTCCTCGCGTTCCCTCGGAATGTGGGTCCTCAGCCCCAAAAGATGGTCCTCTCGTCTTAAGGGCAAAATCCTCTCCGGTACAGCTTGCCGAAGGCTGAGTTGCAGCAGGCAAGGCTGTTTGCCAAGGGAGATGGAGGCTGCCTCCCATACACCAAACCATCTTTGCCGTAAAGGCCGGTGGTGGGTGAACGTTGTAGGCTGATGGGCCCATTGCGAATGTTGAGAGTTTGTGGGAATGCTTTTGCCGCATTGTGGGTAGGAGTGGGGATTGGCACCTTTCCCCAAAAGCTGCCAGGATGGGGGCCAATATTCCTTTATCAGAAAACCAATGGGTGGGGTCATTTCCTACTGCTATGGTTAGCTCCCCACGGTGCTTCAGCCTACTTTTGTATGTGTTTCTGGGGGGAGGTGGATGCGTTTCTAGGCAGGATTCTGGTGCAGCTATCCACCTTTCTTGTTTTCTCAGGATATCTGTGCCACAAGGTTGGATAAAATGAATGTTGGCAACTGCTGATTTACAACTTATCACCTTTCTTTTTCTTCTCCATCACCATTTGTCTTCTTCTCCATCACCATTTGTCTCCTTCTCCTTCTCCTTCTCCTTCTCCTTCTCCTTCTCCTTCTCCTTCTCCTTCTCCTTCTCCTTCTCCTCCTCCCCCCCATTTTAAAGTTGGGGGACAATCTTGTCTATGCTGTAGGGCAGGGTTGCATGGCTGGCTGGGGAATTCTGGGAGTTGAAGTCCACACATCTTCAAGTCACCAAGGTTGAGGAACCCTGCTGTAGGGGGTATTCTTCTATTCCAATTTAATTTAATTCACGTCCATGCTGATGCCTGAGAATCTTGGAGCTGCAGAGATCTTCCATCCTAACTTCCGTTTTCCCTCTCCTGATTATTTCCTTAGCCCATGTGGAGAGTGAGGAGCAATACAGTGAAACTCTGGAGAACTTTGGCAATAACCACCTTTCTCAGAACAACCACGAACTTTCCACTGGCTTCCTCAACCTGGCTGTTTTCACCAGAGAAGTGACGGCTCTTTTCAAAAACCTGGTAAGGGGCAGAGTTAGTGATGGGGTGGGTGAATTTTCTTTTTAAGACACTTCTGGGGTGTTCTCCTTTCCTATAGGAATGCTTATAAATTAAGATAAACCTATTAGACTTGGCACATTCACCATGAGACCCAGTCCTTGAGATTGTTTTCAGTACATATATTAAAGCCAGTTTCACTGATCATTGACATTTATTACCTGACTCAAAGGTTAGAGTGTGTGAAAGGGGAGTGGTGCTGGAATTTACGATGAAGATTGGCTCTCCTCTGCTGACAACCCCACTGACACCTTTGTGTTGTTTTTTGACGTTGATATCAAGGTACTTTGCCACTGCTTTTACTGGCACATTGTCTCAACTTCTGAATCTAGCCTGTAAACCCTGGACTTTCTTTGTGATCTCCCATCCAAATGGTGACCAGCTCTGATGCTTCTTAGCTTTTTCAAGATCAGCCATGATGGACCGGGCGGTGCCAACCGGTTGGACCGTTGCAATATAATACATGAGAATGAGTGATGTGCTTGTTATGGGTTAGCCAGCATTCCTATTATGGCCATTAGAAAGGCAAGGTGTGTTTTCTTTATGAAAAAGTTCCCTTTTTTCCCTTAAATGTTAAGCTTGGAAAAAATATATGGCAAAGGGTTTCAGACATAGGTGTAGCCCACGTGCAACTATTGCATTATAGAGAATGATTGCACAGAATGTTGTTCTTTCCTGCTCACGATGTGGAAGATGCGGGGCTGATCCTATCGGGTAGTTTGCGACTGGTGTTGCCTGCAAAAGTCATCAAAGAAGAGCATTACATGATGTGCCCTCTTTTACATCCCCTGAGCTAACATGGGCTGCGGGATGTCTTCTGGTGAGGTTAGTGGGTAGGTGGGTGGGGTGGAAAGTGGGGGGCAGGGGTTGAGTGTTCCTTCCTGGTTGTTTGCTAGTTTTGCTGTTTTTCGTTTTTAAGATGGGAATTTGATTTGGAGGCCCCTGGGCTTCGCTGCCCCAGTTAAAAGTTGTGAGTTTAGCAAAGGCAAAGGCTCTGGAAGGCAACGGTTATGGTTAATAAATGCCTAGGCAGTCACAAAAGGCCGGTCTCATTGTGGGCAACCGCTTCCTACGTTAACCCGCTTGCTGTTGTCCCAAACGCATGTTTCCTTCCTGGCGGGCTGCCAATTCTCTGAGCCGAATGGTTGCCAGCGCCTGATCAGAGAGAAGGCTGCTTCAAGGTGGTCTGTTGGATTGGAGAGTAAGATAAGAGGAGCTTTGCTTTACAAATAGTTGAAAGTCTCTGGGGTTTATTTGGGCTAAGCGCTGCCCTCCTAATCAGTAACTGTGCATGATTTAGCTTTCGTTGAGCCTTTCCTGCATCAGAAGATCCATTCATCCACCCCGTTGCTGACTCTCAGGAGAGGCCTTTCAGCAGCCAGCGTTGCAGCCATGGAATGTGAGCATCAAGAGAAACGTTCTGGGGTCAAAAGGCCCCAGCCCAGCCTGGTGCAAGTCTGGCGGTGAAGACACAAGTTATCCTAAGCCATGTGCCCATCAGATTCAGCCCCCCTTAGTAACGTTCACTGGGATTTTTGCCAAGGAGGGAGAAAAAAATTCAAAGAGTGAGCTTTGGGGTTGAAGAGATTGCATAAGAATGGGATTGCAATTCAAATTTGGATTTGTACCATGTTCAACATTTGGGTTTCTCTCTGCATGCAGTCTATATTTTAATTTTATAGGGCTTCTCAATGAGAATAGACTTTTAGTAGTATAACAGGATTTATTGCAGTTTACAATCCCATGTTATGATTTATACTGTTCTGACCCTGGTCCGTGATATTTATGCTTTGCGCATAGCTTAATAGTAATTGTCAAACTTTTGAAACAATATATCTGGTTATTCACAGCCCATTCACAGTATACTAGAAAACTGTAATCTCTACGATATTTGCAAAACCCTTGACTCATTTGTAGCCTATTCTTTTATGCCTGTCTTTTGTTCTTTTTTCCTTCCCTGCTTACATATTTTTTGTAAAATGGCTAATAAAAATATATTAGAAAAGAAAAAGAGACAGAATGGGATTGCAAATCAACAGCTGGGACTTTAAGCCTGAAGAGAGGTCTGTGTGAACAGAGTTAAATATTTCTAGAAATCAGTGCTGGGGGTGGAGAGGGAGAAACACATGGATGCAATGGCTGGGGAAGCATTGATCTCGATTCTTGGGGAGAAATGAGTGAAGGCAATGATGTTGGCGTTAAAGGAGCAGAAGAGGAGCTTGTTGGGAAGAATTTGTGATTCTGGGCGATTTAAATGCCAGAATTGGCATTTAATAATGAAGCATTGGTAACCAGGTTTCCTTATTTATCTGCTAAACCTTGGGCAAGTGGATTGTATGACAGTCTCAAGATCAGAACGTTAACTATGCGGGATCTTGTTTAGCCACTCTTTGTAATACATTCTATTTAATAATTTTAAATGGTTCAATGGCACATGAACATCCTAGTGAATTTAGAGGGGGAGTTTGTGCAGAGGCATGCTTTCCCACAGCCAAGCACTACAGGGGCAGATCGGAGGAAGGGTAGCATTGCTGAGGGTTCCCGTGACCCAGTCGTCCACCCCGACTCCCAGAGGACCTTGAGATCAGAGATGAGGTCCTGCTGGAGAGCTGGTCAAGGCGAAAGGCAACTGCAAATCTTTTTAAGAGAAATAATTGCTTGGAATGACGAGGCTGATGTTAAGTTTCCAGTTTCATGGGTGCTGGGCAGGGATCTGAGCCTGCTGTCTTCCTGCTCCAGGTCTCCAAAGACATTCTCCTGCTTGCCACCTATTTCAACAAATTATTTGTTTTGCAATGGTGTGCGGCTCAGGCAGTGCTAGCTGACAGTCAGCGGGTGCTTTTATGCAACACATACTGCCTATGGAGGCAGCTGAGGAAGTGGTAATGGAAGAGGAGGTCAGGCGCTGCTGCCATCGTTGAAACCAGGCAGGAGAAGGGGCCTCTAATAAGGCTACATCTAGCACCACCACTACCACCCAAGTTTGCAGCTTCCTGGTAGCCCAAGAACAAATGGAATTTAAAGAGGAAGAGAGAGATCTGGGGACCAGGAACCCCTTGGTGACTTTAAGCAGCCAGGCAAATTAAATTACTAACTCTGACACTACAGCAAAATAGTCCTATGTAACAAAGCATGTAGGTTTTTGAATGTCTTGCAGGAGATCATCTTGCCTTCTCTGGTACCTCTGTGCCTTCACCCATCAATATTTTGAGAAGAAGACTTAAACTGGTTTCATGCTGTGCTATAAGCCATGGTTTGTTTAACTTTGCCTTCTGGAATAAATCCTTATTGACTAGGTGGTGCATTTAGTCATGGCTTGCCAACTTTAATGTCTGGGTTTGCAGAGCCTCTCTTGCAAACCCAAATATTGACTTAGTGTGATGTGTAAACCCAGCTATGGTTTGTTTGAAGCATGACTTGTTGAAGAATCCTCAGTGGCTGGAATCTTCATGCTATGCTAAGCCATAATTATGGTTTATAGTCCATGATGGCTGGCTTCAAAAATAGGGGTTTTTGTCTGCTTCAGAGTGAATCTCACATCTTTTTGGCTGATGTTGGATGATTCAGTCATTCCCATAAGCTATGGGAAGTTAGTTCTTCCACACACATGAATTTGGACAGGCACAGAAGAAGTCCTCTAGTAACCTTTCCCATCCTGAGTCCCTCCAAGCGGATAGGGCTATGGCTGTTATCATCCTTAGCCAGTGGGGCTGTTGGCTTTGCTGGAAGAAGATCATGGAAATTGCATCTGAAGCACATCTGGAGGCTGTGAGGTTGGAAAAGGCTGCCCTTCTCTATCTGGTTACACATGAAGCTGCTAGAGCTCCCTGGTTGGAAGCCTCAATTATATCATGTATGTTACAGCATCACAGTGCACATTAGTACATAATATGTGTCATTTGCACAATATGTGTGATGCCACTTGCCCCTCCCTTGATGGATACCCATGTTGGATGTTTTCCCTGCTCAATAGAAAAGTTCTAGATGGAGACTTTGATTTTCCTAGCAGCGTCTCTAGCACATCTGTACTTGATCAAAACTATCCCACAGGTTCTGTTTATTTTAAGTCTGTGGGTGGCACTGTATTTTTTGTTTTTTTAATACACAAGTTCTTCGCTGCAGCCACCCAGGCTCAGATGATGGTGGCCTTGCCCCCCTCTCCAACTCTTCTCCTCTTCCAAACCCTTTCTTCCCAACAGAGGTTAGGTGGAGACTTTGATGCTGCAATGTGGTTTCATCTTGCAGCCTTTCAGACTTCTGGCTGAACCAAATGGGTTTCTCTGTCTTTTGGCTTCTTGTGATTTGGAACTTTGGGATTCTCCACCCCAGTTTTAGAATGTGGCCTTTGGGCAAGAGCTGCCTGCCTGCCTGGCTGAACAGGAGAGTGGTCTGTGGCATGATTCAGCTTCCAACATCTTGCATCTTTCTGAGGCTGTCCTGAACATTCTGGATTGGGAAAAGCCTCTCTAACCATAGGGGAAATGGAGGCTGTTATAGCCTGTGCCCCACCTCCCATCTTAGGACATTATGGCTCACATCCCATCTTAGGCCTTTGCTTAAATCTGGAGTGTTTGCGTGCTCTTTGCATCATTATGATCAGTACTGTTATTTCACTGTTTGATGATTTTAAATAGGAAGCCGTTGAGAAGGGCTCTGTGGAGTCTTCTTGCTGCTCTTCTTGTTCCAGCTCTTAACACGGTTTCGAACTTACATTATTTTTCTCCACTTATTGGGATTATTTTCAACCATCTGCAGGTTGGAAATAAAAGAATAAACACTGATGAGCCTGGGCAGATTTGATGAAAAATCAAGGTTGCTCTTTTTTTGTTTGGAGATGTGTGACTCTCCCCTTTTGGCTTTTCCAGGTGCAGAATCTGAACAATATTGTCTCCTTCCCTCTGGACAATCTGTTGAAAGGGCAGCTGAAGGATACTCGGCTGGTAGGTTTTTCTTTTTCTTTTAAGGAGCTGGGAATAATATACACATGGGAGAAGTGCAGGCTTGGAATGGGGGTTGGGCAGGTATGTATTTGAAGCACCTTGGACTGAGGATGGTTGGCTTAATGTACCACTTGGCAGCTTGTGTGTGTGTGTGTGTGTGTGTGTTGTGGGGGATTGGCCCCCGGGATGCTACAACCATTGTAAATACATGCTGGTTGCCAAGTGCCTGAATTTTGATCATGTGACCATGGGGACGCTGCGATGGTTGTAAGTGCACAACCAAATCACTTGGTCACAAATCACTTTTTTCAGCATTATGACTTCGAATGGTCATTAAATGAATGGTCTTAAGTTGAGGACTACCTGTACACATACCAAAATGGATGGGGCTCCGGTCGTGCAAATGTAGCCACCATCTTGGCTTTTTTGACCTACCCCACCCCCAGAGATGCCTAGCACTGCTTGTGTTTCATCATGAGCTGAAGTTACAGTGAGCCACCCTGGGAGAAAACAATATATGGTTTTCTCCCTTTTTGTTTGCTTGCCTTCATACTCTTAAAGATGGAGCCAGTCATCATTAGCTCTGTACAATATGGAGAACAGATACACACCTTGGATTATCCATGTTTGAAGGGCCTGTGGGAGAGTGTCTAGAACTCCCTTCACCTACTGCGGTGACTGAATTAACCAACCGTTTGGGTTGGCACAACACACTTTATCACAAACGAACAAAGTTGAGCTGGATCCACACCTCAGATTTTGTAGACCCTTCCGTGTAGTTTTCTTGGCAGCAATGCAGAAGGAGTTTATCGCTGCCTTCTTCTGTGCTTGATTTATTTATTTACTCCCACTCTAGTCTACAGTCCTGGAATTTTCTGGTGATCTCCCATCTTGGTACTAACCAGTTCTGACCCTACTTAACTTCTTGAGATGGTTGCTTAGGTCCTGCCCATTAGCTGGTTGCAAAAAAATCCAGCCCAGTTTAAAATAACCAAGCCGTGTTTTGGGCTAGTAGACCCTGAAAGAGGCCAGTAAAGTCCCAAGTTCAAATCTCTCCCTTGCCATGAATTTGTTTTGGTCTCTCAGCTGCACGTTCTAATTTCTGGGATACTCGGAGATAATGTTGGCTTCTCTTGACGAGTGTTGGAAAGATTGCTGAGGGAATTGCTTGGTTCACGCAGGATTTGGTTAGCTGCTGTTTATTGAACCCACTATGATGCTCTGATCTATGCAGCTCATTGAATGGTTGCCCATATTTGCAAACATCAGTGGATGGGTTTGTGTAAGTGTCCTTTTTGGCTTGTGGCTTAGCATAGTATAAAAAAATATGCTATTCGGACACTTTATCGGTTCCTGGGATATCATGGAAAAGGAAGGTGCTTTTTTAAAAAAAAAAATTAAAGCATTGTAGAAATGTGTCTGTGGAGCTGAATTGCATAAGACTGGCACATCATCATGTTTAGTAGAGTTGCTGTCTTCTGCATTTCTTTGGGGGATCAAACTCTATTAAACTCCATGGGCCTTGCCTAAATGCATGATTATTTATTTTTTGATTTGATTTATATATTTATATTCAGGAGCAGGTTGCAAAGGGCCGTAGTAACGATAGAGAATGCTTATTTTTAGTTACTTCATTCCATGCTGTGGCATTGGAAATATCAGCAGACTGCAAGTTTATTTCTTTAACTGGAATTTGGTTGAATGGATGCGTGACTTCTGATTTAGGAAATGGCAGGTTTGCAGGAACTCAAATTTCTCAACCCATTTGTATGCTTGGGTTGTTACGTTTATTTGTTTGTGCCGAGATCTTTTTTCCTGGTAGAAAAAATGCTTACCACAGCCTTTGTAACATAAGTTAGGTCAAGAATAAAGGCTCATTCCACGGTAACAGAGGATGCTACTTTGCTCTGCCCATTTTTTTGTTAACCTCCCATTCCATTCTGAGATTTTCCAGACTCTCAGAATTGTCTTATACCCACAACAACCAGAAATTTGCATTTTATTTTATTTTATTTTATTTTATTTATTTCATTTCATTTCATTTCATTTTATTTATTTCACTTCACTTCACTTCACTTCACTTCACTTCACTTCACTTCACTTCACTTCATTTCTGCAGTTGCATAGCACAGTTGCTCTGTCTACAGAACCTTGATTCTGTATGGTTTGAGCTATGCATATCAATGCACGTGCACACCCTTAAAATCAAGCACAAATGTTGCATATTTTTCCTTTTCTTCTTTCTGTGTTTCTCTGCTTTCTCCTCTGATGCCTAATCGAGTGTAAACTGGCTAAACAGGAAAACCAGCTTTGTTCTGTAGAACAGGCTCACTCGGTTTTCTGTTTTCTTTAGGGGACTTCTGTGGTGTTGATTTTTCTGGCAGAGAGGAGTATTTTTCCCATTGCTACAGGCCATTTCCCCATCTGCATCAAATGATTCCATGCGTGCAGAATCGAAGCAGCCAATTCTTTAGCAGCCCTGTGGTTTTTCTAGGGGGCTGCCAACCGGCGGGACCTAACAGATCACAGTGGGTTAAGCAGGGCAGACCAGGTAGGAAATTGTAGCTCTGAAAAGGTTGCTTACCTCCCTACTGAAGAGCAAATATTGAGCAATACCTGAGTGAGTTTGGCTGATCACCTCTCGTCCAGTGGCTGTTAGCAGAAGCCAGAGAGAGTCATGGCTAATTAAAGGAGATACTATTTACTCAGCTCATAGTTAAATGGTGGAATTCACTGCTGTCCATTATGGGAAAGGCAGTCTGTTTGGATGGTTTGAAAAGGAGAGTGGGTAGATTCATGGAGTATCAGGGTATGATGGTTGCTAGCATTAATGGTTGTTTGGTATCTTCTAAGTCTAAGGCTTAGGAGAGAGAGAGAGAGAGAGAGAGAGAGAGAGAGACAGTTTACCGGTTTGGTGTAGTGGTTAAGGCAATGTTTCTCAATCTTGGGAACTTTAAGAGGTGTGGACTACAACTTCCAGGGAATTCTGGGAGTTGAAGTCCACACATCTTAAAGTCCCCAAGGTTGAAAAACACTGGGTTAAGCATCAGGATAGAAACCAGGAGACTCTGAGTTCTAGTCATGCTTAGGCACAAAGCCAGGTGGGTGACCTTGGGCCAGTCACTTTCCCTCAGCCCTAGGAAAGAGGCAATGGCAAACCACTTCTAAAAAACCTTGCCAAGAAAATTGCAAGGACTTGTCTAGGCAGTTTCCAAGAATTGGACACGATTGAACGGATAAGAAAAAAAAAAGTCTAAAGCAGCTTGCCTTAATTCTGAGTTCTGGGAAGTGACAGTGGAAGGGCTCTATCTGTCTGTCTGTCTGTCTATCTCTCGTTCTCTTTTCCAAACCAGATTTGTGAGCTTCTCAAACACTCCAGCCAGTTTCAACCTGCCTGATTCGTACATCCCAGGAAAAAGCGCTAACAGTTCCCTGCTTTGGCGAGGTGAAGGGGGTGGAAGTCCGTAGGCTCTTGTCTTCCTGTTGGTGTGTCTGTGTTGTAGGGTAACTGCACCCTGGAAATTTGATTGCCTCCCATACTGTTGGCTTTTTATACATGATTAAAAACGGAATTATTTGGAGAGGCTTTGAGTTTGAAGTATATGGGTGGGTAGGGCTGTTTTCAGGAGTGTTCTGCAGGGTGCGGTCAAAACAGTAAAGAGGGTGGCTGTGAGAGTGTGATCGAAGCTCTGCTGTTTATGTGTGATGCATGTAAAAGAGAGGTGAGCTTCAATCACACTGTTGCAGCCACTCTCTCAACTTGCTTGATTGTACCCTGAACGCCCTGGTTGTCTCATTCTTCCTTCTCTTCTCTGACTTTTGCTTTAAGTGACCCGTGAGTCTCTCTGACTGCTGCAAGTACAAATCTAATAATAAATCTAATAATAATCCTAATGTTAATCTGATTCCAAGTCTAAATCCAAATCCAATCTAAAGCTAAGCTAATGATAAATGTAATGTAAATACTACAAAAACTCATATTGGGTTTATCTGTTTGTCTGTTTGTACCCTCGAGATAGCCCAAACGGTGCATAACACCACAACAATTTTTGAATCAAGGTACCTAAAATCCGCTAACTTAAAAAATGTGTAAAAAATCCA